CTCGGCGAGGAGCTGCGGAGGGCGAGGGATGACTACAACATGGCCACAGGTACCTGGGGAGGGCGTCCAGAAAACACGCCGTTATCCCGGCTCCCGAGTTCATCTTCCTGCGATTCTCCTCCTTTTACCTGGAAAACATGCTAGGTTAGGTTCTCGTGAGCACAAAACCGCCCGCTTCCCACCGCAGAGCCGGGCTGGAATGGCGCTTGGTTTCAAACCACCTTCTCTCTCCCCTTGGAAGTGATGTCCATGAAAAAACCCTGCAGAGGAAGCCCTGAGCACCACGCTGGGGCAGCCAGCACCCCAGCAAACCTGTGCTGGGGTCACCAACTAGTCCTGCGAGTAGCTCCTACCTCACACAACCTAGTTAGTTTAACATATATCACATCAAAGTACTACAAATGCATTATCAACCAGCATTAACTTCACCCACAGCCTATACTCAGATGGTTACCAGAGCAGCTCTGCTTATGCTGACCTGCAAAAAGGAGCCATGAAGCTTTTGTCAGGGATTCAATTTGCTTAACGCTATTACTCCAAACTTCCCAGGTACCATCTCTTCCTTGCAAAGGCAACTAGAGATCCAAGAATCCCAGCTTCGGAGAATCAAAGCTGAAAAGGAAATGCTCCAAAAGAAGCTCAGAGAGCAAGAAAATCAGCTGCAAGCCCTGTCTGCCAAGGTACCACCCTGAGAGCGTGGTGGCCATCGCTGGCAGGAGAGCTGGCAGCGGGGAATTGGGTCTTCATGCAACAGCTCCCTTTCTCACAGACAGCAGGTGCACCTGTGAACTGCAAAACTCAAGCATAAAATATTGTCTCTTAAGTTTTGCAGTCTGAAAGAACAGAACTACGAAGAAGTGATGGTGACAATAGAGAAGGAGAACCACTCTCTTCAACAGGTAAATGTGGAGCAAAGCCGCTACAGAAAATTCTTGTATTAGCTGCTTAGTTGTGCTTGTTTTAGGCTCAGGGAGTTTGCCACATAAAAAAACCCCTACTCAATCCAGTAGTTCTAGAGAAAATGCCAAACAATAACAGTTACCAATACTGGCACGTTTGTTAGTCTGTAGATTCTGCCCAGGAACTACAAGAAGCGTTTGGACCAGATGCTGGGAAGGTGCAGCCAAGCCTGCTCACTTTCTTCCTCACAATAACAGCTTGATTTATGGATTTCCTCAGGTTGTTACAGAACAAGAATCCAAACTGGCTGAGCAGAACAAGCTCATCAGTGAGTTACAGGAGACAGTCAACCAGCTACAGACAGAGGTTCTGACCAACCGATCCCACATCCACAAGCAGCAACGGGACCAAGAGGCAATCCAGAGAGAAGTTGAGACGCTGCAGCACAGGGAGCTGCAAACGAGAGTGGCACTCGAATGTGTCACCAGCAAGGTAAGTGTAGCCTCCTTCACTTCAGACACCTCCCTCCCTCTCGGGACACACTTCAACCATTTCAAGCAAAGAATCTGAAATCTTAGAGACGTTCTTGTGCAGAAACCCACCAGGAGATGCACCAGGGCTCTTGAGGCCCAGCTTCCCTTTGCAGCCACAAGGCCAAAGGAGCAGGAAACTCAGCCCATTTGCCTCCCAGCTTTTTAGTGTGCAGCTCTTACATCACTTACAAAGCAAACAGGCCTCAAATATCAGAAGCCCTTGAGAAAGTGGAGTTCAGAATAGTTACATCACCACATTTCTAATATCCTTCCAGATTCAAAGAAATCACCTTAAAGCTGTTTCCTGCAGGTGTACATGTCTGGTAGCAAGCACACAGAGCCCGATATCTGAGTAAGGGACTCAGTCCCCCCAGAAACACATCATTATCACAGTACTTGCAGCGAAGCCTATTCAAACATCATTTCACATCAACAGACTTTCCATTTCATCATTCACTGGTACTTTCTCCAAGTCTGACAGCGTAGTCTCTATAAATCCATGCAAATATCAAAGACTAAACACACCTATTTCTTTCCTCTTTTATCAAAAGTTTGAAAGGTATCGAAGCAAAATAATTCAGGCTACATTCAGTACAGCAGGCAGCAAGGCCCCCCAGGCAGAGGTCACGGATGAGGAGGTGCTGGAGGCAATGCAGGTACGTGGCTCTTTCAAGCTCAGCTTCCAGCAGCCAGCAAGGGACTGATGAGATAAGAGAACACTCCGCAGTACAGCTCTCCACCTAATGCTTTCCCACCCCTTTACACATCCCTAATTTTCAGAAAATAATTAACCAGCGGCTGGAGTTTTATCAGATGCTGAAACAGAAAGGCATCAAGGTCCCATCGCTCCACAGCATCGAGACGCCCACCTCATCGCCTAACGGTGCTAAGGGAAGGAGAAAGAGTCCCGCAAGATAGCGTCTCTTAACGCCTGAAAAGCGGCCCTAACACCGAGTCAGAACACGTCACCAAGTTCAGGCTCCTGTTCCTTGGTTTTCAGATGGTGACTTACTAACAAATTAAACTCATTTTACTAAAATCAAGTTCTGACAGAATATCTAAATCATGAGTATCTAAATCATGAGTATCTAATTGTTTCAACCAACTCAGACCATAATCCACTGTAAATCACTGATCTGCAAAAACATTCAACTTCACAGGGAAGCTTGAAGCACGACTAAGGACTTCTTGGCTACAGGGAGCTAGAAAGCGTTACCTTTTTGCAGTATAAAATAGCTGCTTTGGCAAGTTTGTATAGTTATATGCCTGGAAAATTCACCAATGCCAAAACAAGTCACAATGAAGTATGATGGCAAGAACTGTTTTATTTTCCCATTCAATATGCAAGTCCCAACAGGTGGATGTATTTGACACAGTATCTGGAAGTTCAGTTAGAGTTCTGTATCATGTTTAACAGAAAAAAAGCCAATCTGGAGGTCACCCTAGCTTATGGAGAGGTTTGCATTCACACAGGTAGAAAAGTCACCCACAGACTGCAAGAATTAGAACCACTCGAACTACCTGTATTTTGGAAGGTGTCCCCAACACTCTCCATGTGGGAGTGTGACAGAAAGCTCCAGGACTGTCATGCTGGGCAAGAGTGTGTGTATTCTGGGGAGACAGGGAGCTTTAGTAGTGAACTACCTGTATTTCGGAAGGTGTCCCCAACACTCTCCATGTATAACAGAAAGCTCCAGGACTGTCATGCTGGGCAGGAGTGCGTGTATTCTGGGGAGACAGGGAGCTTTAGTAGTGCTGATGTAAGGCAGCATTAGCCCTCTGAACAGGACTGAACTGTAAGAGCAAGAATAAGTTCTGTGTGCGATCAACAGTAACTCAAGGGGTACACAACAAAGTCACTACAACTGGTATTTCCACAAGAATGGATGAAGGCTCTAAAATTTCCTGGGACACAAAACCCTTGCAGTCAATTCAACTGACTTCACTTAAAAATGGAAGCTGTGTTAACGTCTGAACACAGAAACCAGCACTTTAAAACTCATTCCTCAGGTTCTGACAGCAATTAAGTTTTCACAATTACTCCGGATATGAAAATAAAATTACACAGAATGAGATGTCAGCGAAGTAGCTTCGCATGCTGTCTTCAGCACTGGTACACAGCATGTGACTTCATTTCAGTGCTGTCACCTACTGATTTCTCAGTTTAGCTGCAAACATAATAATCCAGCTGAAACAGTCCAGAAAGAACTAGTGATCTGGCAGAAAAATATGACTGCATTCATTTTATAAAGGCTAAGATGGCATAATGATTTTCTCTACAAGTTAATCCGTTCTGACTTCCAACACCTTCTCTGCCTTTTCAGTTCCCATTTGAAGATCCTGTTCTCTCTACCTAGTCAGAATACTGATGACTTTCTATTAAGGCTGAAAGAATGCAATAGTCCTTCCTGTAGCTTGATCAGACTTTAAAGTTTTTACATACCCAGGCAGGATGCACTGCATCTTTTAAAAAAAAACCCAAAACAAAACCCAACACATCACCTCACTGTGTACAAGTTGCATTATTGAATATGGAAAAAAAAAAAGAAAATGGAATAATTTTCTTAGCTTTGATAGCTGCTAACGTATTACAGTCAGAAGAGAGGAAACTGTAGTTAGGTCAGTTTTTGAAGGATAAAGTACTTTCAAGTTTTCATCTGTGTCCACCACTCGAACTTGCTCCACTACCAATGGGAAATTCATGGGCTGTATGTTTTGGCTGGTGTTCAAATTCACTGGTCCACCAAGAGCATCAGATTCGTTATCTGAGCCAGAGTCTTCCTTATTTTCCAAGGTAAATCTGTTCAGTTCCGCAATTTTCTGTTAAAAACACAATACAGAAAACAAGATTAATTCTGTTGAAAAATCAAACCGTACATTTGCAATGTGGCAACACAATGTTATTTACCCCGGTGAGTTTTGAGCTCTGTCAGTTAGTCAGGATACAAAAATATAACAACCGTTTGCAATACAGCAAGAATGGAAGAGTGAGTGAAGGAGAGGGAATAATAATAATAATAATAATAAATAAAAATCATCTTCTGTATTCTTCTCTAATGTGAGCAATTAAACATTTCACTGAGAAGCACATTAAGAGCAGACATGATTATTTTACTGAACTTCTTACCAGAATTAGTGTGTCCATGACATCTTTGCATATCTGTAAACTGGTACCACTTGTCACTTCCAGAAATAGGTCACGCGTGTCTTTTCTAATCTGTAAGTATTTCACAGGTAAAGCAAGTAAGGATTTGGAGCACACTCAGCCACAGTCACTGGGCAACATTTCAGTACACAAACCAAATGAAAGGCTTTCATTCAATTCAGCCAGAGGCAAAGAACTGCAATTTTTTACAAGTCAATATTCTCGCCCTTCAATGAAGCCACCTCTGCAAAGGCAGGCCGGTGCCTTTGGAACAGCTTGCCAGAGCTTTACAGATTTACAAAGGTAAAAATATAACTCCAAGATCCACCCAGCAGAAAAGATTCAGGCTTTGAAGATTTCTATTTGGAACACAATCCCAAGTTTCACAGAACTGCGCGTATCTTTGAATCTGGAGTTAAATATCTCTCAGGAGAAAGAAACACTAATTAATTCTGATTAATGTATTTCCACTAACAGAGAGTACCTTTGTTTTCTCACTGTTGGTTATCGGTGGGAAGGAAATCACAGCACCTTCAGCATCCACAAGACATGGGTAGTTATCTTTGCCATCCAGTAACTGGAGATACCTGCCAAAAAAAGAAACAAAAAGTAAAAACCAAAGAAACAGCAGCTGCACACAATGGCAGAAAAGCCATTGAGTGTGAGTTACCAAAATTCACAAGAAGAAAACAGAAAAGATCAGTATACTGACTTGTGCAGCCCAGAAACATTCTGACGCTTCTTCTGTTTCCTCTGCTCCTCAGCTTCTAACTGCAGCTGACGGAGAAGATCCTTTGCCTTGATCTCCTTTCGACCCAGGGGCATTATCTACACCATAGGGGGAAACAAACATTTGAGTTTAAGAGTGACACAAACATTGGGATTATTAAAACTCTCCTGCAAGTCAACAATTAAAACCATAACATCATTCCTAAGTCCTTGTTTAGTATGGAAATACCCTTTCTATTTCACATGGACGACTATGATCACACTGAGTTTAAACCTTCATGTGAGCTACAACACTTGAAAAACAGGCTCATTTGCTAGTACTAAACCAGGCATGGATGGTTTTCTTACCCAGCTCCTTCCCTGTCTTTATTCACTGAATAATGTGAAAACCTGCTGTCTCATAACAGAAGCCGTGAACGAAAGGCTCTGTAAGCCACGGGGAAAAGGAAGAGCTCATGCCTGAGGACCAGGCCACATACACAGAACAGTTACAAACACAGGGCATCTACAGAGCAGAATGCAACAAAACTTTGGGTCAGCCCCAAAGAGTCAGTATGTCCAGGCTGCTCATTCGGTCCTCCAGTGAGATGGGTTCTGGAGGCAGGATATTGACAGACACACTGAAATAGGCCTAAAGAAACAAGGATGACAGATCTGAAGTATCATTTTTATATTCTCGATTGAAGTTACAAGTACAGTCTGTCTACAGGGTAGAAAAGAAATTATTTCTGTTCTCTAGAGCTCCAGAAAGCAAAAGGAAAAAAGCAGAAAGGCCACCAATGCCACCGGCCCTACCTTCAGTTCATCAGGAGGCTGAACGTCATATATCAGAGGACCTTTGATCAACTGCAAGTCGTGGGTGGCAATTGTGGCCGCTGTCCGCTTTTCACAGATGTCTTCATGCAGTTTAGTCTAAAACAGAAAGAATCCTATCAAAACATCAACAAGATTTAGTCCTCCCAGAGTTCAGCATTCTTATAGATTTAATGTTTGTAGCACAATCAGCTGCTGATAACCCTTTAGCATTACACTGAGCCCTTCTCTTCACCTGTGAAATTATTTTATCTGAATTACAACCCAAACATAAAGATGGTCAAGCACAGCACATGACGTGTTCCTCAACTGGGAGATGAACAGTTTTAAATCAGAATAACCATCACAAATAATCTGAAAGAAGCTAACACCTGCCATCTAATGGGCAGGCGAGCAGTGTGCCAGGTAAAGCCTGCGGTTAGGATACCTCAGGGGGAAGGTTTAGGTGCGCAAGATGGTTTTAGCACAGATTAGGAAATCTGGAACCAAACCAGGGTACTTCTCATGTGGACACGGGTTTATTATTAGCTCTCAACAGGTTCCACAGCACTAACGAGCTGTTGTGACAGAAGCAGTGCAAACACGTGTGTGTTCATCGCCCTCTCATGGCGATGCCTGAGCTCCTGTTAGGTTCTTCAGGAAAAGCAGTTTTGCTTGTTCCAGACTGACCAGGCAGCACGTCGCTGGCAGAGGCCACGCTGCATTGCCATCCTGCTGTACCCTCACCTCCTGCCAGGCGAAGGGCTCACTCTGAGTTTCAGAAATTTATCTGCTGGAAGGAGCCTAGAACTGTCCATTTCCAGTGCTACTTGTAATGTTCTCACTGCAAACAAGTAACAGGAGACCACGGCAGTTACCTGTGCGGACAGGAACCTCTTCAGAGCGTTTCCTGGCTTTAAGTTCACTCCTTTCAGCACACAGCACACGATGAAGGGTCGAACATCTTTGACGCCCGGGCTCACTTTGACCACCAACGGCGCTGGGTTTTCGGAGATGTGCAGAACCTTCACCAGCAGCTTGCTCGCCTCTTCCAGCTCGTCCTGCTCCCCGTTCCCACCATCCTTCTTCTGCTGCTTCTCCCTCTTCTTCTTCCTGGCCTCCTCCCTGGCGCTCTCAGCCTTCCCCTTCCCACGGCCGCCAGCCCGCAGGTACTCCAGGATGGCCTTCGTCTGGCAGTCGTTGACCATCTTCTCCAACCGCTTGTCCTTCAGCTGGTTGCCTCTGAAGTTGG